TGGCCTGGCTGCCCCACTCCCTCAGGTTACTAAGGGCCGCTGCTGGTCCCATGGCCAGCGCCAACTTAGATGCAGACAGCCCAGACAGGTGCTTCTGGATGAAAGCTTTTCCTGATGCCGGGTCCCAGTCTAGCCTCTGTCTTTGCTGGACACTGGAAAAGCCCCCTTCCCAGAGCTGAGGCAGGTCCCACTCAAAGGAGGTCTGATCAGCTATAGTTTTATAGGAATTCAAACCCTGGTTCCACACTGTACGTCATGACTCATCATGGGTGGTCAACCTTTTTTAAAAAAAATCAAAATGGGTTAAATGAAGTGGAATTAAAAATGCAATAAAGGTAAGTATGGGTTCATTAAATGTGTGTGTGCACGCGCGTAGGCACTAGGCGGATTTCTCACTGTGGATCACTAGTTAAAAGTTTTGTCACCACGTTAGAGAATTAGGATGTTTTAATGGGCTTAGGCATTGAAGCCATTAGACATGCCCCAGTACGGCCACACTGAGGAGACCTATGGTAGGAAGTCTGCCCAGGGGAGGGTCTCAGGAATTTTGCTGAATCAACAAATCAATGAACAGAAGGAAATGCGACCTCCTATTGGCCCCTCATCTGATTCAGGGCCCCTTTGGAACTGTGGGAGAGGTTATAGCAGGAAGCAGGACATAAACACAGGAATAGTGAGAAAGCCATAATCTGAGCAATGTTAACTTGGACTGGGCAGTATTTTGTATTGGCAGGCACAGAAATACCTAAGCAAAGATCATGAGTTTTTAAAATAACCTATTTACGTGTTGAAAAGAAATCAAGAAATGTAAGCCATTCACCTCTCTGCAAAATGAAGGACGAAGCAAAGGTTAAAATGATTGTTGACACGCAGCACTGGCGCGGTGGTGGGACTACCAGCACCCTCCCCATGCTGGCAGTATGTGCTGTGTGACCAGAGTTAGCCTTTCTCGGTGGCAACATCTCTGTATCCAAAAACTTAACTGTGCATGCCCTTTGACCCAGCAACACCACTTCTAAGATTTTATCTCATATAAACCAATATATTAAAAATCTACATAACTGCACAAAGATACATGTAAACAAGTCTACATTGCAGCATTGTTTGTGGTAGTGATAAGTTGGAAACAAATACCCATTAACCAAGGAGCAATTACATAAGTTACGGTACATTCACAGAATGAAATGCTATGACAGAGCAGTTAAATGAATGAGGTAGCTTTCTGTCAGGTAGAAAAGAATTTTTGTGATATATCAGTAAATGAAGTATGTTGCGAGGTAATGTATAAAGTGTGTTCCTAGTTTTAAAACGTTTCTACACATAGAAGAAATGTGTCTAGTGGCGCACGGTCACAATATGTGGCATGACTCTTTAGGAGATAGTGTACTTGACACATTTTTGTAATTTTTTACAACTAGCATGCATTTTATAATCAGGAAAAAATTTAACAAGGATCATAAAGCTTTATTTATAGATATAACCAAAAATTTCAAAATACTTTATTCCATATGTAGCCAATTAGAGAAAGAAAAAAAAAAGAGAAGAAAATGTTGTTCTTTTCAGGTCAGGAGAAGGAATCGAGAAAGGAAGACTGGGGAAATGGGCAAAAGACAGGAAGATAAAGATGGGTGGAAGGGGATAGGGATGCTCAGAGCCTTGTGACTCAAGTGCCACATTTTGTAGCTCACATTTCACAGGTCACTGGGGTTTCATTCCTCCTTTGCAATGAAGGGTATTTACTTTGTTCTGTGACCACAGGATTGGATCACCCCCACCCCCACCCCACTGCCGCCATAAGAAAATATTTGGCTGGACAATCAATTGTAAGCTCTATCAGGAAATAATTTAGGTTTTCTAAATAAATGTTAAGATTCTCAAAGCCATCCATTTTTAACTAGGTCTTAGTATTTACCTGCCACTCAAAAGTCTGGTTGTTTTAAATTGAAATACTAAGTTGCTCTGTCCTGATGCCTCCAAATTACATTTGAAAGGAAAACTTACTTCATCGTTTGTATTTTTCAAATCCATAGAGAAAGGATGGGAGAGTCATATCTGATAGTGGGGCAAATTAAAAAGTCAATAAATCAGATTAACGGAAGGTGTTTGGGGCCCTGGGGAGGTGCACCTTGCCATGGCATTGGAGCAGATGAGCCCTGGATAAATCCACGTGATGTTACGGCCTCCAAGGAAAGGCCTGGGGATGTGTCTGGAACACCAGGAAGGGACCTTGCCCTTCTCTCTGTCCAGTGGGAGGTTGGTCAAAACAATCCTATACATAGGTGCACATATTATAGCAAGTGTGTCGCAGTGTGGGGAGCCCCACTAGGATCTGGTGGACACAGGGCAAAACATCTTGGGCTGACTCCTCACGGGCCATCCTGGGACCAATTCCAGTTTCTTAAGAGAAACTCCTAAAAAACATTTGCAGCAACAAGATGCACCTGCGGCTTTGTGGAGCCTCTGATGGGCACCAAGGAGCGGCAACAACATGGAATCCAGTCAGACAGCTGTTTCTCCACTCTTTATTAAAGCTAGGTCCTCTTGCCAACAGCTGCAGGGCAGAAGCAGCTGGGGCCCAGGAAGGACAGGGACAGTGCCAGACCCTGACCACACAGGGGTAGGCTTGAGATGCCCCGAGTCCCCCAGCCCACCTTGCCCTTGGCCCTTCTGAGGCTCCTGTCCCACCAGCAGAGGAGAAACCCAGGACAGAAAGGCAATCACCCAGCACACCTGACGCCTCTCTAGGACCCCTGCCCACTCGCCACCCCATCCCGTAACCTCACGCAGCTGGGCTAATCCTCACCGTCACCACCCAGGCCCTCTTCCCACCCACGACTACCGTGCCTCCTACCCACCCCCAACCCCTAGCAGCCTGGCTGCTGGCCCTCAGCCCCCAAGGCCATGTCTACGCTAAAATGGAAGGAACTAGGTCTAAAAGGGAATGCAGTTGCTTCAAAATCTTTTTCTGGTCCCACTCACACTGGCCCAAAAAGCATGTAAGGAGGGAAGCCTCACATGAGCCATGCCTCAGCTGCACCCAGTCCAGAGGGTGGGGTGCCCACCAGGCAGAGGCCTTACATACCTGCGTGCTTGGTTTATCATTTAACCATGGGCTCAGGTCCACACCCCCCAGACGTAGACAGCCACTGAACAAACCGCCAGGCCCTCAGTGCCTCCACTGACCAATCTGAAATGGGAATCTAAACAGAAACGCTACTTGCCTCTAGTGTAGAAAAGTGACAGGAGAGTTAAAGGGACCTGTGGAGTTGCAGGGCCCTAAATATGAGATGTTGGGAAAGATCCTTTGACCAACCTCAGTCGCTTTACACTAAATGAGTGTTGGGCTCAGAAGGGTGGAGCTCCATGTGTCCACCTGCTCCAAGAGAGGTGGCAGCTCAGGAATCTGAAGCTGGTGGACCTCCAAGGATGTCTGAGTATGCCATCTCCAGTTGCTAGAGGTGAGAGTACCAAAGGACAAAGGAAGCTAAGACTGAGACCGAACCATTTCGCCTTGCCTGGCTAATCTCAGTGCTCAGGTGGGGTAAGGAGAGTGAGCGACTCCGGAGAATAAGGCTTCAAATTCCCTCGGGACCCTGCAAACACCTGCAACCCATCCGCCCCCGCCACAAATTTGGTTTCTGGCTTTTTCTCCTCCTCCTAGATTCTTTAAGCCATACAAGAGGTGGAAATAAATATCCACAGTCTACAGAATAAAAGCTTTACCATTCGCACCTCCATCCTCCTGGGTTAGGGACACCGTCCTCTGGAAACCTACAAGGCTTCCCCTTGCCACACGCACAGGTCTTAAAACTTCCCAGACACACTCAAATGACCAGAAGGTCCCTGAAGTCTCCCACTGACGAACAGGAAGAAGTCGTGAGTCAAACCACCGGCAACCCAGACATCAGCGCAGACTCACCGAGTAGCCAGAGGCTCTTCCCTCGACCACGCCACTTCCCTTGACGCAAAGGCTTCCCCTCCCTTGCTGTACAACCCGGTTACAAACTCTTAAGTCACTTGTTCCTTCGGCCACCCCAATCGGAATCCTAGTAAAATAAATAGCATCGCCTGCCATCCCTACCGCTTTGCTTCACAGCACAGACCCAGGAATGTTGCAGTCTGTCGGGGTGGCCGCCCCGCGAGCTACTCTCCTCTCCCCGAGCGCTCCCCACACCACCGTGCGAGCTCGGGCACGATGGCCCGTTCTCTGGGGCCGGGTGGCAAGGAAACCCGAGACCGTAGGGGCGTAGGTGATGCGCCGAGGGCTGAGGGAAGGCACCGCACCCAGGACTGGGACCCTCAGCCCCTCCGAGGCCAGAGGAGCAAGGGGCCGGCACGCAGCGGCCTGCGCCCGAACCGCCCAGGGGAAGAGCCGGTGGCCTAGAGGGCTGCGCTTCCGTCGGCCTCGGGCCCTTCACATGATGCTCTCCTCGTAGGCTCCAGAGGGCCCCGCAAATGCGGCAGAAGAGTCGGAGCTGAAGCTCGTCCCGCCCGCGAACTCCAGCAGGTTTTCCCATAGATCTCCTACAAGGCAAGATGCCCAGTATGTCCACTTCTATTAAACATTGCACAGAAAAAAAAAAAAGAGAAGAAAGAAATGAAACACATACAGATTGTAAAGGAAGAAATAAAATGATCTCTGTTTGCAGATGACATGAACATATATGTAAAAATAATTTAAAACTCAACAACAACGAAAAACGTGTTAGAACTAAGAAATGAATTATGTAAATTTGTGGGATACAAAATCAACATTCAAAAGTTAGTGGCGCTTTTATCCACTAACAATGAATATATAAAAATAAAATTAAGAAAACAGTCACATTTGCAATAGCAACAGAAAGAATAAACACTTAGTAACAAACTTAACCAGGGAGATAAAAGACATGTACACTAAAAATTGTAAAACATTGATGAAATAAATTTAAAAAGACAAAAATAAATGAAGTCATCCCATGTTCATGGATTGAAAGAACTAATATTGTTAAAATGTCCATGGCCTGGTGGCGCGCGAGCGCCGAGCTCTGGCTGAAGCTGCGGCCGCAGTGCGGGCACGGGTAGGGCCGCTCGCCCGTGTGTGTGCGCTGGTGCGTCACCAGGTAGGAGCGGCGCCCGAAGCCCGCGCCGCAGAAAGCGCAGCGGTAGGGCCGCTCGCCTGTGTGGATGCGCCGGTGTGTGACCAGGTGCGACTTGTAGACGAAGCGCTTGCCGCAGTCCGGGCAGGGGAAGGGCTTCTCGCCCGTGTGCGTGCGCTGGTGGATGGCCAGGTGCGAGCGGTACACGAAACCCTTGCCGCACTCGTCACAGCCGAAGGGCTTGACGGCCGCGTGGTAGCGCTGGTGCTTGGCCAGCCGCGACCGGTGGGGGAACACTTTGCCGCACACGTCGCATGTGGTCTCGGGCCGCCCGGCCGGGGCAGCCACCACAGCCGAGAACGCCCAGGGCGCCAGCAGGTGCGTACCGGGCTCCCGGCCAGGCAGGAAGGGCTTCACCTCTGACCCCTCCGCCAGGACCCCAAGGCCGCCTGGGTCAGGCCCCCATCCCTCTGGAGTCTGTGCCGAATCCGAGTCATCGGGACCCCATGTCCCAGGCACGTCCCCCACGCCATAAGCCGCTGACCACAGCCCCGGGGGTTCGTTCTCCTCCTCAGCCACCTCCGCCAGGAAGTCCTCGTCATCTTCCTCCTCATGGTCCTCTATGTCATCGGTCCAGAACCAGGCTCCTGAAGGAAACAAAGGAAGGCTTTAAAAGAGAGAGGTAAGAGGATGTGACAGGAGCCCCAGCAGATTCCTGCCCCGAGAAATCGTGGCTTCTGGGGCACCCTAAGCTCTCCAAACACGGGGGCTCCCTCCAGTTGTGGACAGGGCACCCCCATTCACCAAAGTGAGAGGTTGTCCACGCCCCACCGCCAGCCTTGAAGGGCCCCAGGGGCAGTAAAACCATGGCCTCCCCCAGTTAGGAACTATGCAGACATGAGGCATGCACGTGTGGATGTCCTTCCTAGGAAGGCAGGGTTCCTCTTGAGCTGTCCTGTAATACCACTTCCAGATCACCAGCTCCCAGCAGGGCCTGCCACTCGGTGAGGAACCCAAGACTGTGAAAAATGGGTGAGCTTATCCACAGGTTGCTGTGAGATCCAAGGCTAAGCCCATAGCAGACCCTGTGCCCAAAAAAGAGAGACACTGGGGCTCTTTTCCCCAGAGCCCCTTGTCTCTGGAAAACCCCACCTCCCTGGCCTGCTTATTAGCCAAAGGCAGCATGGCCAGGCCAGGATCCTTCACCACCTCTCCCATGGCTTTATCTGGAGAGGCAGCTTGAGCACCTGGGCTCTGCCTGGGTCTGAATCCCACTTCTAACGCTTACTGGCCCTTCCTCACATGCAATATTGGAAGACAAAAGCACCCCCAGGCCAGGAGACGCCACCTAGTGCCCCCTCTCATCTGCCCTCATCTTGTGCCTCCATCACCTCTGAAACGTGACCAGGCCCTTTGCACCAGGGCACTCAAGAATCCTGCCTCTCAGCCAGATGTCTCCTCACTCCTCCTCTTCCACCTGTTCCAAGCCCAGGGGTCTAGGGCAAGACAGGACCTAAGCTAATCCCACTTCTACCACTTACTTGACCTTGAGCAAATCATTTAAATTCAGTTTCCTCATCTGTAAAATAGGCTTATAATAGCACCTGTAATCCCACTTTGTGGGATTGTTGCAAGGATTCAATAAATGAATAGCCATTAAACCATCTACAATGGTGCTACAGAAGTATTACTATTATGACAGTGGTGGCAGTGGCCCCTACTGCCATGTGTCACTGTAGATTCTCCAAGGCATCCCCCTGTGGTTTATCTTTGTTTTCCCTGTTTGTCATTACTCAGGTTGTCCTTCAAATACTAGGCTATACCCCTTTCCTATTGTCAGGCACAGGTGGTCACAGATCTTCACTTACGGCCTTTTCTGTATAAGACTGGGCCCCAATCTCTAACCCTAGACAGGCCACTAACTAGCTCTGTGCCTCTGGGTGGGTCACTTCTCTCTGAGGCCACCTCCTTGACTGGACAAGCAGGGACAGAGGGACGGGAGGCCATGGGGGCAGAGGCACTAGGTGCTTGAAGCCATCCTCCAGCTCACACTAGGGGTTCCTGGTCACCAGTAGCTGATGCTGATTTGTGTCTCCCTAAAGGAGGCTCTGGATGCACAGCGATCCCAGAATATGGCAACGGTGGTCTTCCACTTAACAAAAGTTGTACGTTTATCCAAAATTCTATAAACAAAATGGCTCCCAGCTTCTGTCCCAGGGCCCTGGTTTAACTGTGTGGGAGGCTGGTTATCACACTCTGACTGCTGGTGATAATCCCAGGAGTCAACCAGCGGCCTGTCAGCAAAACTTCACCCTTCCCACTCCCAACACACACACTGCCAGTAAGTGTCCTGCCCAGGGCAGGGGCCTGTGTAGGTCAATCATAAAAGAGGCATGGGGAAGATGGCGACCTCAAGGTATACACCTGGCATGGGAGACACAGCTCCCCTGAGCTGCTGTGGTGGAGGCTCATCACACCACATACACATTGGCTTGACTCCCACCCCTGACCTGCCCTCCAGGTCCAACTTGGCCCAGGCCTCATGGCAAGTCAGGGACATGGGTTTACTGACTGAACAGTTTCATTTTCCCTCCATCTGACAACCCATCCCCGCTGGGGCCAGGACCTAAGTGCAGCCCCTGGAAGTCAGTCCCCTGAGTAAAGTCAGAACCCTGCTCCCAACCCTCACCACGCGTGTTCCTCCCCACCTCCTGAAACTGCCTCGCTCAGACACAGAACCTCAAGATAGGCTCAAGGAGAGACCCTTTCCCCACTGGGGACAGTCACAAAAGGAGGAGGTAGACAACAGTGATGTGCCCAAATCCAGTCCGTATGCATCAGCAGCCTCCCTTCCTGCTGGGGCTGCCAGGGAGATGACAGCAGCATCGGCCCAGCACGTCTCGGCTCCAGCTTGGAGGAGGTGGCTCCCAGGCACGGCCTTTCTGCACTGGGATCTGTCCTCCTGGTTGCATGGTCCTGGTCAGGTTGACAGATCTGTGAGGAGGCGGCCCTCCTGAGGACAGGCACTGCGCCAGCCCCCTCATCACTGGTAGGTGACCTCAGAAGGACCAGCAACCTCTCTGGCCCCAATCCCCTCGTGTATAACTTGTGAACATGATACCAAGGACTAAATATTAACAGGAAGTCAAGGCCTGGCCCTTCCTCACATGCAATATTGGAAGACAAAAGCACCCCCAGGCCAGGGGATGCCACCTGAACCCCCTCCCACCTGCCCTTATCCTGTGCCTCCATCACCTCTGAAACATGACCAGGCCCTTTAGACCAGGGCACTCAAGAATCCCGCCTCTCAGCCAGGATGTCTCCTCACTCCTCTTCTACCTGTTCCAAGCCCTGGGGTCTAGGGCAAGACAGGACCTAAGCTCCTTGTCCCCTGGCTAGGACCAGAAAAGGAGGATTCAGTGACATCAGAGGTCCCCAGGGCATGGCAAAGTGAAGGGAAGCTCCACACGACAGACTAGCCCTCCAAGGAAAGGCAGGCCCAGCAGGGTGCTGTTTGGGTAGAAACTACTAGCAGGATGGCACCAGCCTCTACCTGCTAGTGTCCAGGGCACGGGAGGCAGGTGGGCCACACGAGGGGTTCTGTGCACTCAGCAGCTGCTGTTCTGAGTTCCTCTCCAGAACCACTGTGCTTTCGCAGAGACCACTGGATTCTCACACCTTAGTCTTTACCTCTTACTGCTTTTTAAACTTTATCATTTCCTATGTAGCGTTTAAGCCAGTTTTAATCCTGTGTGCTGTATGTTTCTTCTATCCTTCATTTTCAGATGAGGAGGTTAGGAAGGAGCGGCTGGGGGCAGGGGGTGTCACTAGCCAGCCCCCTCTGACAGCCACACCCATGGTGCCAGGGCCTGCCTCTGGCTGACATAGCACCTGGAGGCTGCTGGAAGCTGCCACCTGACTCACCACGCACACCCTGAGCACCATGGATACACACGGGGTGGACAAAACACTGCCTGCTCTTATGAAGACCAGTCTGTTAGAGAAGGTGGGCAGGAAACAAGGAAGCAAACACCTAGGCATGCTCATTTCTGACTGTGTTGAGGGCTATGAATGCTGTGAATGTCCTGGAGTGATGGTGGGGGCCAGGGGGTGAGGGCTCCTGAAGTCAAGGTCAGAAAACACATGACTCAAGGGGAACCTAAGAGGTGAGCCAGCCACTAAAGGGTGTCAGCATTCCTGGCAGAGCAAACAGCAGGTACGAGGCCCTGAGGCAGGCAAGAGCTTGCAGAGAAAGGCTGTCGGTGGAGCTGAGCCTGAGGAGCCTTAAGGCCACACGGAGAGCTCAGCTACGGTCCCAAATGCTTGAGGAAGCCTGTAAAGGGTAAGGCAGCTGAAGGACACCTTGTGGCCACAAGCATGCCAGCCTGGGCTGTGGATGGGGTGAGAGAGGCAGAGGGACAGGGACCACTTGGGTGCTGGGGATGCTGCAGGAGGGGCTGGGCCAGGAGTAGTCACACTTCAGATTCAGGTGCACTCTGAGATGCCCATCTGATACCCAAGTAGAGAGGTTAAGTGCACAGTTGGACAGACACGATCAGGGCTAGAGAGAAATGTCTAGGGATGGACAGTACAGAGCATAACTGGCACTTAAAGACCTGGCACTGTTTGAGATCACCTAGGGGGAGAAGAAAGAGGACCCAGGGCTGTCCCAGAGCCTGTAAACAAGTGAGGGCAGATGGAGAAAAGAGCTGGGGAGCAGCAGCCAGGAGGGCAGCAGGGAAATGGGCCAAGGGATCCACCCCAGAAAGCAGCAAAGCCAGCCCCACAGCGCACAAGGCCAAACCAACAGGTCAAGGCAGAGACATGCCCACGTTCTCTGCTACAGTGCAGACTGGGGGCCACCAGGACAGGGATCTGACAGGTGGCCACACTGGGCACTCCCAAGGAAGTAGGGGCCTTGCAGTCTGAGCCAGGTAAGGAGAAAGAAAGGTAGGAAAGGGGTGAGGTTGGAAGAGGCAAGAGGGTGGACAAGCACCAGTGAGCTAAAGGCAGGTGGCCATGGTGGCCCTGGAGCAGGGGCCAAAGGGCAATGGGGGCACCTGAGTGGGGGAATATGGCCAAAGTCCAGACATCATGTGTGGACCAACTTGTCAAGGAACATGAGAGGGATACACTTGTGTCTCACAAGACTACAGTCTGGAAATACAGAAACTGCCAGCCTTGGCACATTTAGTTAGCATCTGTCCAGCCCAGACCCAGCCATTCTCAATTCTCATCTG